AAAAACTCAAGCATCATTTGCTCAAATAATTAAAAAATGAAGATAATCGTTGGTTTATTTTTATTACACTTCTTCTCTGTAAGTAATTTTTAGCGATTTTTTTCATAAATTTATCGTACTTTGTTACTTGTCAAGTAATAATTGAAATTATATTTATGTCGATCGTTTTAATGTTCACCTCAATATTGCACATAAATTTTTGAGTGAGAAAAAAAAGAGATTTATGTATCAAATGTCTCAGAAAATAAATGCTTTAATAGCTTTAGTGTGTATAAATCTATAAAAAACTATAGTATTGTTGAACTAAGAAAACTATTGTTTTAAAAACCAAAATTTAAATATAACATATTTATATTTAATTCGTTCATGCGTAGATTGCCCATTGTAAAGAACCCGATGAATGTATTAAGATACGTATTAAATTAGCCAGTGAGTAACCTCAATTTGATATTGAGTCATAATTTTGATATTATTTTTTTTCATGGAATTAAAAGTATTTTCCTAGTAGCCTTTGATTCTTAATTGTTGGTAATACATTCATAATTTTTTTTTTTTTTTTTTTGATTTGAATTGTGAAGGTAATACGAATTTCAAAGGGAATAAATGGCCAAATAATAGAGTTTTTTACAAAATAAGTTCAAGAATCAGTGCACCTTACAGGAAAAACATAACAGAGGCTTTTGATGTTATACAAAATGAGACACAAAATTGCGTTACATTTGTAGAACGCACAAATCAAATGCAGTATCTCAAAATTAATGTAAGTGAAAATATTTTTTCAAAAAATAAAATAAGAGGCACTTTTCCCTCGATAGCTATATTACATAGTATCAATATCATGCTATGTATCCTATGTTGATTTTCATTAAATGGCATTAATATGCAGCATTAAATATATGTAACCAAAATTGAAATGAAAAACTGTTTAGAAAATAAAAGAAGGCTGCTTCTCAAACTACGGATATAATGAAACTGGCGTCGTATTTATGGAGTTGGAAGATTACTGCCTAACCAATAGGATGGCTCTGTTGCATGAAACTATGCATAGTAAGCAAAATTTTTATTTTTCTTAATATTCAGTGAGAATTATTCATTTAAATCATCTAATTGTTTTATAGTATTGGGGTTCGCTCATATGCACCAGGTCCCAAACAGAGACAGCTATGTGGATATCAAATGGGAGAATATAGATGAGGATTTCATAAGGCAATTTTCTAGATCCTCATGTGGATCACAATACGACAAATATTTTCCGTATGATTACGATAGCGTCATGCACTATCCTCGTGACGCTACGTTCTTGAAATGAATACGACATCAATCGAAATTCCGCAAGTATGTAACTTAATAGATAACAAATCAATCAAGTATTTTACAAAACTAACTACGTTGCTAATTTTTTTCACAGAGAGCATATAAAACAGAAATGGAAGGTGATCCGAATAAAATTGGAAAAAGTAACAAATTAAGCAAAATTGACATCGCCAAAATAAAGTACTTCTATAGATGTGGCAATTGATCTTGATTCCGTACAATGACATTATATACAATTGCATATACATAATGTAATTGTATTTTAAAATAATATGTTACCAAGTACCAAGATATTTAACAGAAAAAATTAAATTTAAAAATCAAAATCATGATAGAGATTTTAGAAAAATTAATATGGAAATCGATCTCACTGATGCAATTAAATCATGTAGTAGAAACTCATTGTTGTATAGAGGAAGTAAAATTTTTAATGAACTCTCAAATGAGATAAAATATGAACACTCTCAGAACAAATTTGAATGAAAATTAAAATGCTACACTAAACAAAACTTTCAAAACGTAAAATAGGTATGCTGTCATAATGGAGAAATCTAAATAAACGTTATTATTATCATCAATATCTAAAAATTGACATATTCTTCATTGTTTTTTCATTTCATTATTAGCAGTAATGATTTCAAATTTCCTTAATTTCTTTATATGACACATGTAATAAATGGTGGTATAATACATTCGCAGAGTGTACCATTAAAATTACGTGGTACAGTCGGTTTGTATTTTATTTTTTCACCTCGTCTTAGAGTCAAATCACCAAATCTACAAACTGGTTCATTTGTTTTCTCAAGTGATATTGATTGTGGGTCGATCATGAGTTCATTATCGTACGCTAAAGAAAGTAAATAGTTTTTTTCAATGAGAATTGTGAAATGTGAAGAAGACTAGAATTATATAGAAACTTACGACATCTCATATTGTATACACAACAATCATTTTCGAAAATTGGAACGCAACCGTCCATTATAAGATGAAAATTATAACTTTGACAATCTGATTTTATGCAATTGTGATTCTCAAAAATTGAAGTTGCATTATCAAAATCTTCGGTACAAAGACATTTATAGCATTTTGTTCGAAAATACATTTTTTGGCCCAAATGATAGGTTTGACCTTCGCTATAACATTTTTCCAGTTTGTCAATTTCCGCTGGATCTAAATGGAAATGAAACTAATAGTTGTTGAACATTTGACATATATGTTTTGATTTTGTTTATTATTTACCGCAAATTCGATGTGAGTTATTGCAATCTTGTATATTTTTATATTGTGATATGCATGTGCTTCGTCGAAAATAGTAACCAGGTCTCTGAATAATTTTAGATTTACATCCAATTCCTATTTCTCCGAAATCATCTCGAATACATTCACAAGATTCATTGCATCTCCAGAATAGTAATGCATCTGGTATCATTTGTCCAACGCTAAAGGATTTCCCGTTGAAATGACATTTTTCTTTGTCAAATTTATGAAAGTCTGGACACATTAAGCTGAAATTTCAAGAAGAAAAAAAACAAAAAATTGCACGCACACCCGATAAAATACCAAACCATACTCCCATTTAAAATACATGCTGCAATGGCACCTACAACACGAAAAAAAGTTGTTTTCGTCGACAATTATTGAAATCATACAAATCAAACCTAATCAAGTAGCCTTTGACCCCTTGAAGTCTTTACGCATTTTACTGAGAACTTATTTCTAGACGTCCCATTACACTCCGAAGCAAATTTAATGATTTCGAAAAAAATGGAAATCTGTTTATACCTTGATGAGCATATATCTTTTGATTTGTTGATTGTTTTGCATCCAATATTTTCATAATACTCAACCATTTGTCCACAAATTTTAATAGAAGAACCTTCATTTTGAAA